GGAGTACTTCAAAATGACCCTTCAGTAGATAACATCGGACCTACCTTGGATCACTGAAGTATATACAAGGGAGCACGGTGTTTAAGGGTCTGGGGTTGATAAAGATCGGTACTTTCAACTGGATAGTCAATTGACAGGCAAATATTTATTGACGGATTCGAACATTTTGTAAGTGACTTGTGCTAAATACTTTTGTTGCTCATGATATAATTTGACTACCCATAGCCTATGGCCTGTGTTAAAACTAGTGATTTCAAACATGTATGCTTTTTTGAAATTAGGGTAGGTGACTCTCACATCGTTATAGACCAGTTAGAGAAAAATCTCCACAAACTTATGCATGCAACAGTGAAAAGATGAGGCTTCTAGTCCTCTTCCCACAAAAGAACAAACAGCGGTGGCAACTGGCTTGGTCACATCTATGTCACACACTTGTATGAGATTTATCAGATCAAGATGAATGCAAGCTAGAACGCTTGGTTTCCTGCGAGTCATCTTGTAACTGGGTTGCACTTGGCACTGCAGGAGGTCCGCAGATAAGGAGGATGCATGGGTTGTCATGCTTTTCAGAACTAGATCCTTATAGAACACACACCACCGACTGCCTTCTTCTCTAGGCAGCGGGGGGTTGTGAACTGCAACGTCGGACCAAGGTGATCGGTAACGATCCATCATCCGACCGCACACACGCGCTCACACCACTTCACGAAGGAGCCCAAACAACAGCGCTCGGTGATTCAGAATGGGAGCACCGGTGCGGCGCCTTCTACTAACTTATAAACTAACACGCCTTGACAAATGTGGTATCGATTAAATAGGATGTAGAGCTCAATAGATCAGTTAGATCTAGTAACCTTGGGTTTCCATTTGGAATACTATTATCTACTTGTATGTGGATTTAATCTTAAATTAACTTCGGCCACGTTTGTTTTCCATGCAATACCCATCGACTAGTCCACACAAGCAAGATAACTACAAAACAGTTTTGGATGATCTGCTCTGCTATGCTCGTTGTGCAATAGTTAACAGGTCTACAGACAAGCAACTAATGCTCGTTTCGAGTTTCCGCTTCGACAAGCTGTATTTAAAGGATCCAATAAAGGATGCTATCTGTCAGCGCAAGCAGTACTGCAGGTGACGAAAACCTGGAAGTCATTGCTTAGACTCGGTAGTTTCGCAGTGTGTTTGATGGGGAATTGCGATCTCATTTTGGACTAAGAAGCATTTTGGAGTAAGTCTTCGACCATTTAATCATTAGAGCCGTAGATGATGCGGACAACTTGTGTGTACTTTTTTCCAAGAACTGTTGATCATACGTTCCTCAAAACTGTATACGATCTCAATTTTTGCATGTGGCCATTCAAATACTCAGTTGGTATCCAAAAATCCCACTAACTAGCTATTAGACGTCGCGGCAAGTACTACTTGTAATATCCGGTAGTCTGTTTTACGTATAAAACTAGGTAATACATAAGAATGAGAAAGGTCATTCACAGCAATGTTAAGAGAGGGCAGCGTTCAAAAATCCCCTGGTGAATTGCTCTATTTTAGTATGTGCTGAGCTCCTCTTACAATGGAAACCTTGTTTCATCACTTGGAATGCTAGGATGAAAAAGTTAATCCAATAACCTACTGCTTTGTAGCAGCTGATATTTGGGTCACATATCAGTGTACTTTTGATCGAATACTCCATATGGTCGATTCTATTAATGAACCAATGAGACATTTTTCTATAGGCAGAACTTTCGGGTCTGTTACAATCTCCATTGCTGCAGCTTAGTGGAGGTTTCCGTCATATTCTTTGCTTCAATTAAAAATGGACAGAACTGAAAATAAACTACGGACAAACGCAGATGCCGGAAGCTTACTTTTTCGTCAGACTTAAAGGTATAGTAGGCAGTGATTATCTTATAGGTTGAGAATTCACAGTTGAATATTTAAACACGGTGTGTTTTCACCATACTGTGCAGTCTCACTCTTTGCTGCCATATCTAGGCTAGGTAACTTCAACGAGTTGTTCATTCATTACTCTGCGACATCAGCCAATTTTTCATTCCTTCTTCGAACTTTCGCTTAGGGGGATAGCCGGAGATAGGATCCACGCAACGGACACTACTGTGCTTCCGAGCTCCGCTGAACCGCTGGCTGGCGGGCTAGTGACAAACATGGGTGCTTGTAACCCCCATACCATCGAGTCATTTCGCAGTACCAAGTATTACTACCAGAATATTTCAACGTTACCGAGCACCGCAAAATAGCTGGAGATGCACCTATATCTGGATCATTTTTTGGCATTCATACTCCGTTCCAATCCATTACCAGTAATATGGCAGGGTACGCATATTGAATGGAACGTGCCTGCACGCTCCATTATCAGCACATTAGTTGGATGTAATTCGACTTCATAGTACTGCTCAGTATTAGAAATTATGGCAGCCATGTAGACAATCAGTTGTTACGGTTACCGCATAAGAGTGCAGGGTTCCACGACCAGACGACCTGGCAACAGTAGAGTTGAGAACTACTTTCGGGTGATATTTTAGCTCCGTTAAGTCATACTGAGTTGAATAAGCACTAGTGCTGTTTGCAATACAGGCATTTTAACACTAAACTGAGTAACCTATATAACTGTACAACCACCTTCTTATTGAAACCCTGGCATTGGAAAGGAAGCTATTGTGGATGCCCAACCACCGCTGAAGCCTCACTACAGCCAAATTCGCTGTAGTTCTTCACGATCAGAATAAATCAACTGGCCGGAGGTTGGTGGACAATTGAATTCGTCTGACTTTATCAATCCCCTTCGAGTCTGGTAAACCCACCCACTTCGAGACACGAACTCTATTACACAAACAGAATTAAGGGAAGTCGGAATCAGCAGCCAGAATTTTTCGCTATGACAATACAAAGTTATTTGATCCACAAACACACCATGAGGTTTGAGTTCAAAACAATGTCCTAGTAATTACCCTGCTTTGACTACGTCTCTTGACCGGGCCAAAACATGCCAAGCTGCTGGATTTCAGGATACGCCACAGCATTATTCGAAGGCCGGATCCAACCTCGGTACCTCGCAGTCTTACAGCTGGTATTTAGTATGCTACGCAGAAAGAAGTTTTTTCCAGCGTTTGTTCTAACTACCTTTCCTTTGTGTTCAACTGTGTGCTTCACCTTATCTATCTCTAGCCCGGATATTTACAGTATATTATCAGTACGGGTTAAGAAAAAGGGATTCCATCATACATGGGTTCTCAAAACGTGATTGCTAAAACAAAGTGACCGGAAATGAACGTTGTCACTCTGTTTAAGCCCACCCCCCAGTTCATTCAAAATTTTTGTTAAAGTATTCACGAAATGTAAATGGTTTCTTGTAGCCACACTACTAATGCACCCAAACCAAAGGTATAGCATTACAAAACAATTGTATTATCCGTGGTATTCAACAGCTCTACGCTCTGTGAGCACAGAAGCAAACGTGGGAAACGCACAGGGGTGACATGCAGTGAGCAGCTTTTAAAGCCGGAATATTGCGTTCTTGACTGCTGGAGCCATGTTCGACACTTACAAGGCATAGAAATCACATTTTACTTCCTAAAAGTCACACAGTAACTATAGGTAATTGTAGTACACTTCCTGCATACTAAATTAAAATGAAAAGACAACTACCTTGTGCAGTAATTTGGTCTAGGAACACTTTTAGAGCAACGTTCACTCACTACCTTCGTACAATCAAACTCCACAAGTAACAGCTAGAAGGGCAAATCAAGCTGTTGTAACCTAGTGCTATTGATCAATATCTGGATGTATTTTTCGATAACGGCAAACTGGTCTTGCTAACTGGTTGAATTACCGGATTGAATTACTAGATTGGCCCGTAATACGGAGCTATATCGTAGTTCAGTTCGACCAGTAGTAAGTGTCAGATCCTTTGTGCCTACTGTCGATGACAGCATCAGCAAGGATCCTCTGTTCTTCGCTGACACCATCTCGATAAGTTACCCCAGAAGTGCCACCTGTTGCTCGGGAAAAAGAAAGCACAAATTTTGAGGGTACTGGGTTTAAGGTTGGGTTGCTTCATTAAACGTGGCATGGCCTAGCCACTACACTATGCGCATTGTTTAGTATTCATGTTCTCTGCAACTTCGGCCATGAATGTGCGTGCGTCGAAAGCGTGGAAATTAACATTGGCTCTTATACAATTGTCTCCTGGTATCATTCTTCTGGGAGTACAGTACATAGCAGGTGTATATGTGGATTGCAAACGACACAAAGCTGGATACCAGTGTCTCTTTGCAGTGACTACCGTTTGTTGGCCGCGTGTAAATATTATCATGCAATGCAAGAAACAGAAGCAACTACTGGTTATCACTACTGCCCTAATAGTGACAAAAGAGATCCACAATACTACCAAACTTATTAAACAGCCATATGAATAAATGATCCCCTAGAAGGATGTATGTCGTATTATCACAAGCACCATCAAACTGCGAAGTTAAGGTGTGGGTAGGCTAGTTCAAATTGAGTACAAATGTTCACATTGAGAAAATTTCACAAGTTACTCCAGACCGACTGGCATATTAAAAGCGAAAAACATTCTACTTGTCAGTCAAAGAGAAACCCTGTAAAGCCGATGGAAATCTTTGACAACCGAGTGAGCTAACCTACGAAAACCTCAAATGAACAACCGTTTTCCTCGTGTCTTTTCGTTATTTTGCCGCTCTATCTTAACCAGCCACAGACTAGCCAACCTCATTCCAAAAGAGGGTCAATCGTATCATGTTAATTCGCACGCTTTTGGTAGCCAACAAGTGCCAGTTGATAAGGATAAGTTAGAAAAGTTAAAAACGGACCGCTCTTTTCATAGTGTTTCCAGATAATGTACATGGGATGCATCCGGCAAGATGCAGGAGTCAATTGAGTGACCTGCTTTGACTTGGTGCTTTCAAACGTCCAAATTCCTGTTGTATTGTTTACAAGTTTTGGCTGTTCTCAGTTGTCTGTCAGGTGTGTTTGTTTTCCCCAGCATATCCCAAGGGGTCATAAAGATTGGGGTGTGGTACCCGCGGATTAGCATTGAGGTACGGACCGGAAGGAGTTACGATGTTGACTGGAAAATCAATTGTGTGACTGGGAGCGGGAAAATGCTTTGGCTGTCGGATCGAACCACCGTAGATGTCGCCAGTTAGTCCAGGCGCGATTGGGCGTGGAAGAAAGTTGGACCGGAGAAATGGGGACCCAGTGACATCACTGTCAGCCGAGGTAGTAAAAGGGAAACGTTCCGAGTGCAAGCCTGTTGGACCGGAAACTGACAAGCCAGATGATAAAAAGTCAATTGCATCTTCAGTAGGGGACCTATGTAACGAGGTCAAGGAAGATGGGTACAAAGGTAAATGCGAAGATTCTAATGTACCGGTTGCCATTGGGAAAGGAAAGCTCATTAATGAACGCTGGTTGCTGGCATGAAAAGATGTTGCACTTTGGTATGGACGTGATAGATTACCCAGGATATCGTTGCCATTTTTTGATAGGCTCACAGGTTGCTCTCGGAACTTTGTCATTTGCGGTGACTCTGTTAATATCTGATGAGGTAGCTGACCCGCATCAATATGCGCATGATCGTAACCCGGATGGGTAACTTCTAAGTACCTTAGACTAGTTTTCTTGTAGGGTACTAAGGTGCTTGGAGATTCAGGACAGGGATCCTGCATCTCGCCATCTGTACAAGCAATATCTTCTTCCTCCCCGTCGAGTTCATCTACATTCTCGTCCGCATCCTCCGATATATCGGTGTCTAACTCTGTTAGGTCTTCTCCTTCACTGTGTACGTTTTCCTCAATTGCATACTTTTTACTCAATTCAGCATGCTTCATTTTTCCACCCTCGCCAGGGTTAGAATTGGAATGTGGATTTTCCGAGGCAGATCTTGCGGCAGAACTGCATGTCTTCGGAGGCCAACACATCTTATTCTCCTTCTTTAACCTTCGTCGGGCGTTTGCGAACCAAGTGGAAACCTAAAGGGAAGAAAATCCATGTAATTACCGTGCACAGTAACCGTTAGCACATGGCGTATCCTATACGTTAGATTGCAGTAAGATTAAACGCAATTTGTGTTGATCTGAGCGAATAACTTTATACCATAAAGCATATATTGTAAATACCCAGTTATTAAAAATAACTTAGGATACAAGCACGACATTTCTATTGAGATGCAAAATAACCCTATCAATCTCTAGTATGTTCCGCTTTGAATCTAGATAACCTCCGCATATCGCGAAGCGGAGTGTGGCGGTGTCACTGATTACCAGCGTTACAGCTTCGGCACGTAACCCATTTAATGAATTGGAAGTGTTAACCTGAAAGTCCTTTATTCATGAGCAACAAGATCAAAAACCCCTAGCAATGTGACTAACCTGAGTCAAGGTCATTTTGGTGATGATGGCAAGCATGATTTTTTCACCCTTTGTAGGATAAGGATTCTTGATGTGTTCTTGAAGCCACACCTTCAGTGTGGTAGTGCTCTCTCTGGTTGCATTTTTCCTACGTGTTCCATCCAGACCGTAACCAAAGCTGTGAAGGGAAAATGGATCAAGAATCTGGTACTGGGAGTCCCAAAAAATGACAGTGTAGGTGATAAGATATTGGGGGGGTAATTTTTGTCTGGACGCAACCATCGCGCTAAGCATTTTCGTCAGCTTGTAAACCGCTAAGGAAATCTATATGGCCTTCAGCTGTGTTAGTGCATGAAAACACCAGGAAACAATCCAGTATTTTATTACCATCAATTAATTACGTATTTAATAAATATTTTTAATACAGCGTATCAACAACGTTAAGTGCTTCACTTATACCTGTGCATTAGCAAGACCTCAGCATGCTATGAAACATGGGGCAGTGCGGCACAGTAAGCAAAACCCGGGCCTAGAATGTGAGCATCATAGCGTGAGTGCATACTACTGTCATAGATATATATATGCTGGCATTGATCAACTTAGTATAGTCTGGGTGTAATACTAGAAGCATAAAAGTTTGCATTATGGATCACAGTGGATCTAATCGCCATCGCGTCATGCGAAACTCCAGTCGACAGAGTAACAGGAAGTGAGGAGAAGATTCTAACAATATAATACTCGCTGAAATTCGAAACTCTGCTTGATTGTAGGTCTGTTCCCATTAAATTTGCCCCACATAGGTGATCAAAGTGTTTGGCCACTTGCCCATATAGGTCAAATTGACAACCGTTTTTCATTTCCGCTATATGTGCAAAACAGCTTTTGTAGCTAACTGACGTGAGCTCACCCCAGTAAGTGTTCGCACTGTCATAATGCATGTATACAATGTTCCGGTATATACAGGTCTGAAGATGTTCAAAAGAAATACATTTCCTGAGTACCAGCTTACGTTACTCCTCCATGATTATGCAGTTTACTATATCCTGGATGTATATGAATGATATATCTATTTGGCAACGTAACTGCAAACTCGATTGTTAGCAACTGATGGATTTGCACATATTTAGTATTCTTCTGTAAGGCGGAACCACAAGTAATCAAAGTATTCTCGTGTCTCCAAGGTCACTCAAGTTGAATCTGAATCGGAATGGTCTTATCTTGTATTTCCCATTGCACGAGCAACTAAGAGCCAAGTTTTGCTCTAGCCTTACCGGGTAGATTTAATCCGATGGAGGGTAGAATTCCTAACGTTTTATTTACCCCTAGCTGAACGTCTAGAAAAGGAAAAGCAGCGCTACATTTGAGAGTTTGTGTTGAAACCTAACGCGTAACAAAGAATTCAAACCACCATGCAATTCTCAAATGCATTTGCCTGCTTTGTTCACACAGCCGAGTCACCGAGTGAGCAGGGTTTTAGCTGTTTGTCAAAATCATGTGTTCTAATTCTACTCAAAACATCCTTCTTTAGTCGTTATAAAATAGAACGCTAGTGAGGAGATATCACACTGTTAACGATTGGTAACAATATATTCAATGTCACAAGACAGGTGCAAATGGTGTGGCCCACAATGCATCGGCTACACGTGCACTTCTCGACGGGTTACACACTATCTGAAACCATGACATTCTATGGGTGATGGACAAATAACACACAGGTTCTTAAGTGCGGATTATTCCACTTCCTAATTGGCGATGGAGTCCAGAGCACTTGATTTGTAAACTAAACCAAACCAAAAGTACCTCCAGAGACTTACCAATGTGACGAATGGTGGTGAAAATTGGGGTGAGTAAAGTGTCGCAGGGAGTCATAAGGGGGCCTGGCAGTGGCTTGTGGAAGAAATGGGTAAGGATTTGAGGGAAGGGGTCCAGGCCCATATGGTCTGTGGTGTGCTAGCGGGGTGTTCATAAGTAGGGGATAAACGGTTGTTGGACGAGACGAAGATACCACGACTGGTACCGTGCTGGCAACCGCGACCGCTGCTGCAGCTGCAGCAACACAAGCTGCCGCTGCGGCAATGTGTGGAGCCTGATGTGAACTGGGAGAACTAGAACCGGGAGATGACATTACTTCGGGGTAATGCCGGCCATTCGTGTGTTGATCTGTGACCATGGTGTCTGAATGCGCGTCCACAGAATGTATTCGCTTGTTTGGAGATCTTTGGCTCGTGTTATAGACCGTGTTGTTCCATGGTAGTTTTAGTGTGCCCCCAATTTCGTGATAATTAACTGCAGAAAATGCACTACTTTGGTCCGAACATGAGCCCATTTTGCCTAGAAATTGTCCAGAGTAAAGCTCTCTGACATCTTCGCTCATATTCCTCTTTCGTGATTGGACCAGTGATTCCGGTGAAATTTCTAACAGCGTTGAGTCCAATTTATTCTGTAAACTGTAATCGTTTGGCAACTCGGCAGCATCATTGAACTCAGTTTCATGTGCGCTGTTATGCAGTTTGTCGACTAGTCCGGATTCACCACCAAAAGATGATTTGTGTTGAACAGGCAATAAGTGTCCACAATGGTCCGCTCCAACCCGGGTTGGCGTGCGGAACGAAGTCTCTCCTACATACGTAGTTCCTCTACTGGATTCGTAAGTGGGGCTAATCGAAACCAAACCACCAGCGTTCAAAGAATTGTCTATAGATAGGGAACTGCGCCAAAATGCACCGGGGTCACTTCTCACCGAATCACTCTCAAGTGCAGTTGGCGAGGCAGGGGTAAAGCATTGATTGGGTCTATTCCAGAATGCAGACTGAAAGGAGTTTGGCAAGCCGTAATTGAAAGGTGTCTGAAAATGGTTAATAGAAAGCGATTTGTTTGTTACACAATCAAGAGACATGCAATTGTATGATCCCCTTACTGACACAAAACTCTCTTAACAAGACAGTACGGAATATGAATATGAATTTCAACAGTACTGAAGAGTTTAGTTCTATCAAGCTTAAGTGGATGTTAAAATCCCTAAAATAGAAGTATCCTACGCCGGTACATGTCTAAAACCTATAAAATGTTTAGACCTACTCAAATCGCTTGACGCCGGTCGAGAAGCCACGATATCAAAATGATTCGAATATTTTCGGGTACGCGGTCCTTCTTTCAGTTTGCAATAAAAGCTGCACAAGCCATTCACTAGTTCACCTTACCTAATGAACTTTCGTACCGAAACAGAAACGCTATTCATCGAATAAAGTAACAGTGTTTTAACTGGTACAAAAGAGAATTATTGCACTATTTATTGATACGGGTTACCCGTAGACGGAGGCAGACAGCAATAAACTAACGCCGCTCTGCCCTTGCTAAAATTTGATGGCATTCCCGCTCCCGTTAACACTGGATGGTGGTGATGGTGGTGGGCGTAAATTTTCTTGGATTCCAGAGGGGGACATTAATCTTTGACTTGAAAAATTAATACAACCAAGTCCAAATATATAGAGGCCATCTGACTGGGTGCTAATGCTAAATTTGGCCTCCGAGGTGCTGTCGGAGATAGGAAACTAGGTTATTGTCAAACGATCAGGCGTCCCGCCTTTGTAAGCAGCTATGCTAGTTCTATATAGATTGCCTAAAAGAAGCATCTGAATGGAGAGGGCTCCAATGTCTGCATGCCACCGCAAACGTACTGCAAGAGGAAGAATAAGTCATGCCTTCTCAGTCAGTTTACTTTCCATGTTGTAGATATGTAGCAAATTCAAGGGACATACAATTTTATCCGTATACCTTACGCAAGCACGTTTTCGAGCCATTGGAAAATTTAAGGTCAGTGTGTTACACCTGTCTTCGTGAGCACAACTAAACATAGATCTCCGGGAACAATGAGCAGGATCATCATTGGGTCAACCGTAACTGTACGGCTCACGGGTCACCGAGTCGACTTGTAGTAATATAATCCTATGATCTTGGCTATTTGCACTAACGTCAGTCACGTTTTGGGACTGGAACCCAACCAATGAAATAACCTCACTGACAACTAAGAACCAGTTGCAATTCGGGGAATAGGTGAGTTTCGAAGTTTTTGTTCGTCTTAAATATTGATAGTACAATAAACAGTTATGAATGCACCAACACCGTCAGAGATTGCACCCAATTTTCACCTTGTACAGTGAAATGCATTGCATCTCTTGACCCATGCATCCTATATTGATACGGGCAGTTAGTACTAGATGAAAACTTTAAATGTTATCGGTTCCCAAACCTGTTTCTCAACCTTGGTTACTTATTTGCAATCCTTGGCTAGACAACGACGACGAAAAGGTGATCGCCTTGAAGACGTCGGTACCACGAATGGCAGTGTTGGTTTTGTAAATTGATCGCTACACCTCACAGGAGCACTAAGCTAGCCAACACTTGATCCCACATCAATACGGCGAGAGTCCATCGAGGATACCTAATGTACGGGTAATTGTCTACACTGGCAACCCCCATGTCCCAGGTTTCAGTTTCAATCCGGTTCCTCCAGACTTGCTCAAACCAAACCATGGAGTATAGAGTCAGAACTGACAACACTCATAATCCAGAAGTTTGAGGTGTTGAACGAATAGACCTGGATTGAATCTCTCAGAACCGATTTGGAATTTATAATTTCGGAGTTCTAATAAAAAGCTGCTGCAACATTTGCTCTTGGTGCGAGAGCTTGCTCTGAAGAAGCTCTTCCATCCGGAGCGAAATGTAGACGCAATATAAGCCTCCACAAAACCCGTTTGTTGATTGTCGGGTTTTGGAGTATTCACTCTGTGTCTTGGGTTACTACAAGCAGTCTCAATTGTGGCTTCAGTTCACTTTGAAGTCAACGTATGCCTTTCCTAGCAGTGGGACAGTATCCGATGTGGTAGGTTTTGGTGTGGCTTGCTCCCATTCCTGCACTCCACGATGCTTTTTGTTCTGACTTAGACTCACTAGGTAGAGATAGCATGAATTACTCATCTGATTGTAAATGGTGCATCTAACTGTTTCACCCATTTTTACTCCCTCCCCACCGATCAAACAGCCGCCATGATGACATCAGCAAGCTGTACCGAAAACAACCAAATGAGAATGCCCGCGAACTGGTAGCATACGGCAACGAAAGTCCCAAATGAAAACATTCGCAAAACATCTCTATTGTAATCCAGTAAAAACCCAAACAATTGACAGCAGCATGCCTTAACAAGCTGCAATCTAAGTGTGATGCGGGTTCGGTTTTTCGGTATCACGAGAAATATACCTTATTAGTATAACACTAGTTTGTAAGCAAAATCATCCAAAATTACAATCTGGCTTCACACTAAAAGAAAGCTCCGTTCAAGTTAGAACGGTTTACTGTGATCAACGTACACAACAATTGTGTGAAAATAAGCAAGAAATTACACTTACAACAGTATCCACTGCTTAACTTGGATGTATAAAGCGGCTAGTGTGGATGAGGTTTTTGACACTTTAACGTCATTAATGAGATTAATTCTACAAAATCAGTAAACGAACGGCGTCTTTTGGTACCAAAAGCTTGTAACAGAAATCGGTCATTTGAGATCGAATTGGAACATATCTTCAAAAGTAACCAAAACTTCAGCTGCGTATTTCTTATGATTTCATCTGATTATGTGAAGCATCGGTTAAATTTCCGGATGGTGCGGTACAGAATACAGATGAATTTGAATGTACGCCTTCCTCAATCAGCCCACGGGATCGATAATATGTTTTACTTAAAACCAGCCGCTGCAATACAATTCACAAGTCCGTGATGTTCTTGCATCCACTCATCCAAGTTGGAGGCCTGTGTTTTCGTATTTTACAGCATTCTAATGGAGTTCTCCGCATAACAATGATTTCCCTGTTCTATTTCTGGTCATTTTAATCATTATAGTTAAAGCGCTGTTGGTCCAACTGGAAGGATACATTTAGCCCGTTGCTTTCAGCAGCTTAGCCATACTTTAAAGTGAACAACGATTCTTCACAATGAATGAACCACGAGGTGTTAAGTAACCAGTCTCTTTTGCAAACTACTCATCGTAAAGATGACATTATATACTTGCTAACTGCTTCTAAAAATAACACGGTATTTGTACTGGTTTTATGAGCACTTCTTACTGCTCAACACGAAGATACACAGCTGAATTCATTATCCCAACTGATAGATAGTCGAAGAAATCTCCAGCCACGAGAGTGAGAATGGACGCGACGTTGCTATCCGGGCAATCCGAAACAAATCACCTCCACTGTGTTAGTAATGGTGTGCTCACTAGATGACGTAGCGAGGTAGTTTGATTGATGGTTCACTGAGACAATCTGTGAGAAGTAAATCCAGGGCTCTTCTTGAAGGTAGCGCAAATGTGCACGTAATAAAGGATATTCGCCAGCGATACGTGGCGACATCATAAGTTCGAGAGACTGTGTAGAGACCCAATGTCCGGTTTTGCAATTTGTTTTGCCACATGAAGACATGCCTGCTAACAGCAACGCTTGACGAGTATGCGACCAGTGATCTTCAACGGTGTTTAGTGGGCGCTTACTCAGCCCAGATGTCAGCGTATCTTGGTACACATTCAGAACATCTGGCTTCGCCAGCTGGCTAGTGTCAATCCGTTCACATCGACGTTGCGGACGTCCACCGAAACGCATCAGGAGGTCGGCACATACAAGTGCGTGGTCAGAGTCCACGCTCGTGCTCCAAATCGAGCGACAGTTTTGGACACAGCCTCTCCAGCGGTAACTGATCGCGATATGATCGATTTGCGTCCATGACTGGCCCGAGGCTGGTGGCCGCCAAGTCACACTTCTGCGGGTGCTGTGTCGAAAGTTAGTGCTCGCGAGAAACAGGCGAGCATCTTCACACAGCTGTAGCAATCGCTCACCATTATCATTACGGGAGCCTACACCATGTTGGCCGCCCAGATGAAGCTCATCAGAGGACAACTTTCCGACTTGGGCGTTTAGATCGCCAGCCAGCACCACAGTATCCGTGCTCCTTCTGTAACGAAGGAGCTCGTGAAGTTGCTGATAGAAATCATCTTTTACCGAATCAGTGCTACAGTTTGTAGGGGCGTAGGCCGCAATGACAAACAGGCACCGTTTGTCCCCGCGCGACTTCGAAGCACGGAACGAACCAGCTAATCTAACGGCGCACATCCTACTGTTTACTGGGATCCAATCAAGTAGGGCAGCTTCAGCCCGGGGACTCAAAACAATGCCGACGCCGGCTTGACCGGCATTTGAAGCTGCATCATCGCCAGATAGGCGCAATGAGAATGTGCCGCCAGTGTCGCATGTGGGGGATCTCAGGGTAAGCACGGAGCTCGAATCTTGCAGGCGGGTTTCTGATAAACAGCAAATATCGATCGATAGGGTCTCTAGTGTGTGGGCAAGTGCTGCCTGTTGGCCAATCTGCAGCAAAGTGCGCACGTTGAGGCATGCCAATCTTAGCGAGACATGAGGACTCCAAAGGGAAACGGATGAACTGACATTGTCCGCTTGGTTGAACATGGACTTGTAGACTGGATTGGAGCGAGGCCCTGCGATTGTGTGTGATTTGAAATTAGAAGACAAGCGACTATTGAAGTAAGCTGGGGGAGGGCCAAGAATTGAGGGATTGAAAATGGGGGGGATATAAGTAAGTTGGAGCGGGATATTCGCACGTACAGTGAATAAAATGTTTAAGTCCCAAGTCTTTAGCTGTAAGCGCTATGTTGGTGTTCACATCGGCCGATGAAAGTTGCTGTGTTGACGAAATGTGGAAGAATGATCCATCCTTCCAAAATTTTACTTATTGTCAAGTTGTTTTATCATTAGTAATTTTTATAGTACCGCTCATTTGATCCCCTTTAACTGGGTTGTACTTCATCCGAAGCAGTGCTATGACCGTCTGTATGGTTTATAAGCGTGGTACCACAATAACTGATGTTTCGGATTAACTGTGTGTCAGACCCCCCCCTGTTAGTAATGTTTATGCATACGATCAGATGACTATGTAGTAATCTCTTCTGTAAATTGTGCGCATTGATTCTCCTAACACAATCGATTTTCTCTAACGTTTACAGAAAAAGTATCGACAGACAGCGATGCGGTTATCAGCTTTTTAGGACTAAAGAAGCGGCTGATACATTAAACGTTGGTACATGATTCGTAGGCCTGCTGCGTGCAGCTTCCTATAATCCAACGGGCCCCATTGTACAGAAGATAAAATTACGATCACAATCATATATTATATACCCCTACATTATGAAACTGAAGGTTAGCTATCATACTGCCGACCGATTATTAACAATCACCTTGAACAGGACCCCAGATATACACGCTAAACGCAGACAGGAAACTTGTAAGCACGTAACACATCATGCATCCTATATGTTTTCCGTTTTTAGCCGTGATAACGTTCACGTCGATGACGGAGGGCTGAGTCTTCAGTATTCATAACATCAAACGTCTTCTTGATTGCATGATAACGGACGGAAGTTGCAAAGATGTAATAATGAAGTCTGAAAGGTGAACACAAACCAATGAAGCGTGTTTTGCTGAATGATTTATCTTGGTGCCTGTTTGCTTTGCGGTAACCGTCAATTGCTCACGTACCACCGGTTCAGTAACACCGTGCTCCTTCAAAAATTGCATTCATGCATTTAAAAAGTTGACACAAGCAGGCAGCACACAGGAAGCACGTTTACAGGAAAAGTGATGTGTAACTGCAGTAGGTGCCTCCAGTTTTCACGGGTCAGTGATAAGGGACGGTGATTGAAATTGACGTGCGTTCATCTGTACAACTGTGTATGCGACGGTATGGAGGACGGAATTGGGATGAAGTTAACGCGCTTTTAAAACCAACTGTTCATGCGTGACTTGCACCCCTCTCGCTCAGCGGAACATCTGCACCTGTCGTGCAAACCCAACTTCGCTTGCCGGGGGGGGTGAGGGGAAGTCAGCATGCGAGACCATTCTCCATGTGTGCCGCGCATACGTATGATCCGACTTCAGTGGCTTTTTATGCATGGGAGCTTTCTGACCGAGAGTACTAATCGGTTTTTCACTTCATTTTTAGAAGTACTAGTTAATTTGTTCTGAAGCTACAACGTCAACTTGATCGCCACTGTGGGCTAATCGGCTAAACACGGGGTGGGCGCTTACCAAGCTCGACCACAGGAGTGGACATGGATTTGAAAGTGCTACAGACATTTGCATACCTAATTTGAACTTGATGATGGTTGACGTAAATTACAGAATCACTGCCTGTGTTTTCCCATTGTCAAAATAATCCGCCAAATGAGGTCAAGTTGAAATGTCCTTCGGTTTGGTGAATAGTGAAGGACTTGTGGTCCTCATCACCCCCTTCGATTCCATTAAAGCCACTGTGCGTGTAGGTTAGTGATTTTCCCCACAGTAGTCGTACTGTCACTGAAGTCTTAGAGCGTAAACTTCTAGCCAACGTCTAACCATGAGTTTCAATGTCAACCATGTAAACCCACATTGTTGTATCGTTTCGGATATGAAACTGATGAACCCCACCGGTGTAAAGCGTGGCGTAGTTATGAAAAGATTGAAAGAGGAGAGGGAGAGACATCGCAGTGACGATACAAAATAACAATGTTTCATTCTGATCTCGTAGTCGAACACAACGGTTATTTCAGCTTCAGGAACATCTTGACAGGTTGTCACGAATATAAAGATGTCTAAGTTTGTTCGCACCGTATAAGCTCATGTAATAACCAACTAAAAGTGCTCCACGGTCAAAGGTTTCTGTTCGCACAATGTGGAATAGTGCATCTGCTGCCACTGTTCAAGACTCGTGCTGATCTACCCCTTGTTAAAGTTACTTTTTAGGATACTCAATGTATGCGGTATACTAATGACTAAGAAAGAGTTTGACTGCAGTTCAATGTTTTAACTCCAACTGGAAAGGGTGTGTGTGTGTGTGTGTGAAACCGTCTCAGAACTAGCACGGCAACGTTGGCACTCTAATAGATGGCTACGCCCGGACTGTGGCAACAACCATATGCATGGGACTTCATTCGTGTGACATTCTATTTCTATACCATTTCCCGGCCAAGTTGTCCTCTTGGCAAAGGAAATAATCTGAGGGGGGGATTCAACATGAGTCGACTCAATTAATTTGTTCCGTGCGTACGCCAGTCACTTGTGCAGGTGTGTAGGTGTGCGTGTATAGCCCGTCGCTTTCAGCCAATTGGACCTCAGACGCACTAAGTCATGGGGGTTCAGGTGGGACGCTTCAGCTCCTACGTACGGAACAAATTAATTGAGTAGACTCATGTTGAATGCCCCCTCAGATTATTTCTGTTGCCCAAGAGGACAACTTGGCCGCGAAATGGTGTAGTGTTGTTTGTGTTTGTATTCCGTACCACAAATTCGTGACGCAGCCCAGACTCAGGTTCGAATGATATGGGTTTGATGGTGTCGCTAATGCATCGGTTCGCCTTGGCAAACGCTTGAAGAAGGACTACGAACCCACCCTGGTGCAAACTGGCACTGACGCTATCGATATTTCTTAAGGAATCCGTCATAGTGAACTTAAGATTCCACAGCGGAGAGACGATTCTTCATTATTGTTTTGGCTAACTTACACAAAACGATGAGCAAATGAATCAACTCCCCAGAATCGCAACATCGTGACCGGTTTGCCTGAAGCTTTTGGTAAGTAAGGTAGGAAGTAATTTGATCAATGGAGAGCAGGGTGACTGTATGACTGTTAGGTCATTTGATCGCCTCAACCTTTTGGCTGATCATCTTTCTATATCGTCAGTAACTAGAGCGAGCTGCGGTCGACACCATTGGCCACAGGCTAGATAAAACCCAGGGAGTTTAGCTACTTTAATAAGATTTAGTCAGGCCGCCGACGAAGTCAGCAGTTCTTTTTCTGAACTCTAGATTCTCCTTATCTTCAGACCATGAGTGATGAGTCCCTAAGGTATTCGAATGAAATAACCGAACACAGGTCGTTCACCATATCACGAAATTGGTGCAGCTTACTTTAACTGGAGACACGAGGTACCGCGTCATCGAGCTATTGAGTGAACAGAGCGCGCAAAGTTCAAAGCACATTCTTGCCCGTAGGCATAGACATCCATGAGTATATTCAGTACGTTAGTATTGGCTTACTATTCGCATCCACTATGGAACACCATATTTATTGGCTGTACTTTACCGCACCAGGTAATCCTAACCTGACCACAGTCTTAGTAGCACTTGCGCAGCTACAGACAAGTGGCTATCCCTGGGCCAAATAACATCAGATGTTTCCACGACAAGTGGCATTCATTCCGGGAGGTCCTTGTTACCGTGACTATGGGCAGTCAAAGAACTCCGGATTGTGCTGCACTACCCTCAGCCCCACCCTTCCGCCATATCCAGTGTACCCCGGTACTTCGTACCTCCCCCGCGCTGTTACCGGACGTCCATCAGTCGCGTGTGGGCTAGCGATAGCACGAGATCACCCACGCATACGCAGGAGTCAAAATGTGATCTGTGGATGGTAAACGCAACTCCTGCGTACCCAGTACGCACTCGAGGAATACGACTGGAAGGCAAACCGAGGGCGAGACAAGAATGTTTAATACTGGTAAAGTTCCCTGAAGGCTACAGCACCCACAACTCGCACAAAGCGGTGGTTTGGCCGTAGTGTGTTTCATGATAAAATTACCCTTTGAAATCAGGGCAGTCAGGATGGGTTGTCATCCCACTTCTCTGAGAAATGAACGCCTACCTCCTGGGACCAGTGATCGACGCAGGAGCATCACAAAAGTGGACGCGTTGTTGCTATTGGCATCACATATGGCCAAGCCGGTCGTCTTACATACGCGGAACAAAACATTCGCGTTGATAAGGTAGCCCAAATATAGCGATCAGACATCAGACGTGCTCCCTTTGAAGAGCCTTGTCAGTCATGATGCCCTGTTAATCACAGTCTTAGGGGTTGGACATTTCAGCGATGCTAGCAAATAAGGCTTCTCGTAACTATAACTCAACCGCATGGCGTACAATACACCGAATTATAGCAAGCATGAAAATGCCACGGTAATCTGGTCAAGCCCGAAAGCCTGAACAAATGCTATTTGGACCGGCTGGTGGAACTAAAATTCCCTCGAAATAAAGAATGGAGACTGCAAGTATTAAGCAGCAAAGAGATTGATCTCATTCTACGAACAGCGCCATCAAAACTATATTTTTCGCCGCTTTGAAGTATTCCAAATGATTGTGTGTTTTGTACTGGTTACCGTCAAGCTACCAGCCCTCTGCTGCTGCTGCTGCTGCTGCTGCTGCTGCTGCTGCTGCTGCTGCTGCTGCTGCTGCTGCTGCTGCTGCTGCTGCTGCTGCTGCTGCTGCTGCTGCTGCTGCTGCTGCTGCTGCTGCTGCTGCTGCTGCTGCTGCTGCTGCTGCTGCTGCTGCTGCTGCTGCTGCTGCTGCTGCTGCTGCTGCTGCTGCTGCTGCTGCTGCTGCTGCTGCTGCTGCTGCTGCTGCTGCTGCTGCTGCTGCTGCTGCTGCTGCTGCTGCTGCTGCTGCTGCTGCTGCTGCTGCTGCTGCTGCTGCTGCTGCTGCTGCTGCAGGATGAGATCCCCACTTTTACAGCCGCAACCATAGTTGGAAACATGCCAATCGCCTTTCTTTAACTTTCCGGTTGTGCTAACGCGTAACAGAAACGTTATTCTTGCGCAGGTAAACAAGCTACTATATATCACAATTCAAAAAGGCGGTAGCGATTGCTACACCTTCATCTTTTATCCTTTCATTAACCGTAAAGCCACCGGATGACTCATAGTTCGTACGTGCCCATGTAAGTCTATTCACCCAGGTGAAAATTCGGAAGCAGAAATGATAACTAAGTGAGTTTAGATTTCATCTACTTTTCACAGGTAAATTTGTCTTCCTGAACGCGGCCATCAACCACGAATTCAAGAAGATACACAGTTCTAGGCCAATGTCAACTGTTGCATACACAATGAGGTGTGAGTTAAGAAAGTGTTGGAATTCCAACTTCGATTTTAGGATGAAAGAGACTTGCCAACTCCTCCGTCATGTAAATTGGACATACGGTTATATCAGGTGGAAAAATAGTCGAAACTGGTAGCCGGTGATAGACAGTGAACTTAGTTGCAATAACCTCTCCTTTAGTGAAATACTTTGATAATCTCTGACACTTTCAGCCTGATATGCTGGGAAGCGGTCTGATTTATTAAGCCTCAGTACATGTCGGTATCGGTAGGGCTGACTTAGGCTCGCTCTGAATGAAATCTAGGACAGAAATGAGGCGAGGTAAAACTTCAAGATCCTTAAACGGTATCATGCATGGATGATCCGGCAAACTCGGTTTACTTATTTCACAAATCTGGGTCATGGTACTACAAAACAAGTTCTACTGATTTTTTGAGACCTCAGCACTGCTGCCGCTGACTGATGGTCCTCTTCTTTTGACTGCACCAAGTATCCCGAAAGTCACGTTAGTGAAGTGGACAGAAGTAATAAAGACACAAGTTATACTACGCTTACGGATACGGACGACCTAGCCTTATTCAGCCATTACAACCTAATATACAGCATCCTTGAGTCAACAGTCTGGACCTCCAGGTGCAGTATTGCCTGAAATTTTCTGTAATCACAATGGACCCTCCCCATTTCTCTGCATGGTCCTTACGGCGGTCATGAGAAACATGGGTCCAACTAGTTTAGTACCATATGCGCCGATTACTTCAATGCGTTATTCTGATTTCATGGAAGGAACTTCAAACATACGCGCAAGCCAATTTAGTAGCACTCATTTCCAGATTGAAGTGTAATCATTAGTGAAGATTCCGCTAAACTTGACGATATAGGGAGCAACAAGTAACTCACGCTACGCACTAGACGTCTTCCCCTACAAACGGCATCAAGTGTAGACTAGAAGGATCTTATAGTTGAAAACACGACTGATTAAAAGTCAACAGGTCTTTTATTAGTCGGCATCAACAATGGAAGCACACATACTCTCAAGAACTATACCGGATATCATCAAAAGTGCTAAAAACTGCAACTACCACGTATATAACTGGGGGAAGCATGCATCTTATCGTCCGTTGATAGGTGTTGATCTATAAATAGCCCAACTTGGCGTATGAGCTTTCATGCTAGGAGGTAACTGCAACAAGGAGAAGCGGCAGTTAAGACAACTCACAATACTTATGCTCTGTGATGGAATTATACAAGCAGAAGAATGATACGGATGTAGATGACGAAGTAAGTGGCTAGCTTGTCGCATGCGAACAAAGCCGTTGATTGGATGCTTAGGCACATTCGCTTTGAGAGGTGCAATGGAACAGCAGGCAGAGTGGAAAAGGCGCCGTTCCGATGTAGGATGGGGAGCGCGTTGGATTTCCACTTACTGACACTCACGATGGCGGAACGGCGCTATGCACAACTTAAGTACGGAACGCTAGCTGTTGTCCACAAGATGAAACGATTCAACGGTCACACCGTTAGAAGGAAGACTACGGTGTAATGACCAAAAGCCGCTCGTGTCAATAGCCAGTAAACCATTGCATAGTGTCCCTCGACTTCTTCAAAGTATGATTATCCAGCTCCAAAATACGACTTGAACCTTGTACGCACACCGGGAACGCAAATGTTCATCTCAGATGCCCTGCCGAGAGCTCATTTTCTGATAGTCGAACAGCAGCGGGAAGAGCTCGAGGCAGTCAATCTCATAAAACATCTGGTGGTAATGACAGGTCGCGCGAAAGTGATAAAGCATCATGCGGAGGAGACGTGACATGCATGGGGTAGCGCGACATGATTTTGAGGGAATGTTCAGATACAAAGGATAAACTTCTGAAGGAGTTAATGCCGTTCCTCAACTTTCGGGATGAACTCAAGGTCTATAGTGGTTCGGTGTTCAAAAGAAAGCGCATTTTGATCCCACCGTCGCTTTGCAAAGAGATGCTGGGAAACTCTGATCGAGCCTTTTTGGGTAGTAACTACGACATTAACAGAGAACGAGAACTGGTGTACCGGCCCTAGAAGACGAGTCAGATAATAGATCGTGTTAAATTTTTCAGCCCACCGGTCCCAAGAAGCTTGACAAGCCAGGGGCCAATAATGCTTCGGGAGGTCCCAGATCGACTATGGCAGAACATTGCAGTGGACTATTTCTGTGACAACGAGAAAGACTATTTAATCACAGTGGACTACTACAGCGCTTACTTCGTGATCGTCCCAATCACCGCTGGCACCACGGAAGCAGTCATCAACAAGCTTCCATGCCGGTTCTCTGCACATGGAATACTGGAAGATCTGATCTCTGACAAAGGTCTATCGTTTAGTAGTAGTGCGTTCCAGACATTTGCAAACAAGTGGAAATTTTCGGAGCTGCAAAAGAACGCGTATCGCAACAAGTCGGACGGAAAAGTAGAGGCGGTGGTCATACAAGCCAAGAAGCTTTTGTCAAATGCTAGGACCATCCTTGAGGACCCAAATCTAACGCTGTTGGAGATTCGCAACACGCCGTTATCAAACATCGGTTTCATTCCGGTTCAACATTTGTACAGCAGGAAGATAAGAACCCTAATGCATGCGCATGCTGAACCTTACGCTCTATCTAGTCACCGCATGAAAAAATTCAAAGGAATTTAAGAAAACGGATGGCAGATCAGAAACGGAATTAGGACTGTAGAACCCGGGCGCTAAAGGAGATATCAGTAAAGGTGGAAGCGTGGATTCAACCAATATTTGGTGTCAAAGAGCGACGGAAGAAAGGTGTGTTGACTTCGAGGGTCGGATAAAGACCTCCTATAATCCATAATGGAGAAGGTAAACAGAAGGCAAATAATGCAGCTGAGGCGGCATCGAAAAGGTAAAGATGGAGCTGAAACAAGGCACATGACGACTTACGGAGAGGTCAGAATGCTAATGTAGCAAAAACCACGCGGCGCGGAAGAGCGTAATAATTCAAGCGACACCGATGCAACTGATTACGAAAAAGAGAAGTATGTGGTGGGATTATGCAACCAGTAGACTGATACAGATTTACATGGCGAAGCAAGCGGCTAGCTTGCCGCAAGCTAACAGAGCAGTTGCTTGAAGCCTACGCATATTCGCCTCTACTTTAATTGGTGCGTAGCTAGCTACGCTGGATCGGGTTTGTGAAACTGATACAAAGGAAAAATCTCTTGAATGCATAAGCCTCGTTAGTTATGAAAGTGACTTATTTACATCGACGTTTCTACATGCTGCTTGTTCGTCGTTTTTGCTTAGCTTGCTTTGTCAAATTCACCGTTTGTCCCTGAGGGACGGAATTCTGCAATAAGCACAAGACTTCTCTTAACATGAAATTCGATATTCACAAACTATGAATAATCTTTGTGTAACATGTCACAAAATTTAACCTTTTGGCGTCGTTCCCATGCGTAGGTTTTATGGATTTAACACTTTTGCTGCAATGTAGCATAGATTATTTTAGCATCTGTTAAAAGATATGGTCGTGTTGCAGCCACCCTATGGGGTTTACGCAACGCAAATGAAGCCAAGATTTTCAAAATAATTTCTAACCGGTTCTACTGCTTGGAAGCTGATTTCTTAACAAAGTTTCCCATCGCTTTGCAGCGGATCTGGTAGTAGAATTAGGATGTCGCTATATTTTTGTAACGCCAGGAAGCATGGCCCACTTAATTAGTCTTATACATAAATTCGGAAGCTGACTGAGCATGACGATTTTGTGATTGATTCCATACAGCAATTTGAAAGTATAGCAAGAAGACGATAGTTGGTAGATGCAAGCATTTCGGATTGTCTCCCAGTACCAAGAACAATAACTAATGAGAAAATATAACAAACGGCGGATTTGACCAAACAAAAGAACAAACTTGGGGATCAGGATAGATAAAAGCTATTCAAACTTTATGTCCACGGAAGTCTGAGGCTGACGAATAACTGTGTACGCATAGCGTTGGCTGCATACGATTGATCGCGATAGCCTCTGAGAACCGAAGTGATTGCGGATTAGAGTGCCGCAGCAAACATTTAAATGCGGTATCGAGCCCGATCCGGTGACAAGTAATCAATAAGTCATTACAAATAGAGGATACCGGCGATTTACGCAACGGCAGCGCTTGGGGAGGATGAGGCCGTTCGTTCGACCCATGCAGGATCCACTTCGATACGCGTTACTTTATTCGGGAAGACAATGTCCCCTCGGTTCTGTCACTGTAACTTGCTCCTCACTTGCCTGTGAATTGTTATACACAATAAGGGCTGGCGCCGCTTGGCAGAGCTTCCTTCGGTTGAGGTACTGGCAACTTGTTGGTTCAGTTGATGATAACGACCTGAGCAGCATAGCAGGTCATATGCACAGTAGCGATCAAGCGCTTAATGGTCGTTAGCGTGGTGAAATCATCCTTGAAAGGTAATCCGATTTAAAATTTCTTCGCTGCCTCCTGTACTAAGTCTTTGGTTTTCGTGGCCCGCTGTGGTTCTCTATAAATCTTCGTGGGGAGCCGTTTGACATGAGCGTGGCCGCAATTCGTTCCAAGTCATCGTTTAGACAGTCTTCCCAGCATAGTGGTCTGACACAGCTAACTAAGGTCT